CAAACCCTAAACCTTTAATTGTGGTAGAGGGACCTTGGTCCCAATTTGGGGTTTAGGGCTCGGAAGTTAGGGATTCTTACTAATTGCCTACGTACACTACTGCGAGGGTTCCTTGTTATATTTGTAGTATAATGGGCCCGAAACCCTATTCTAACTATTAAGGCCTCTATATCATAGAACGCTACTATAGATCCCTTATAGATCCCCTTTCAAGGAGCCCTAATTATTAAGGCCTCTGTGTATCGAAACCCGTTCAAGGAGAACGAAACTGCACGGACCCCCATGCCTCTTAGGTCTAGGTTTTGGGTTAAGGGTTTAATGCAGGACAATATCTTCAAATATAGAAGGACCCTATGATTTGGGGTATATTGTTTAATTGTGGGGTTTTGCAGTGTATAAAAACCCTTAACCTTGAAGCCGGAAAACCCTCTAATGCCACACCAAGCCTTGTAAAACCTGACACAACCCTCAGTCCACACCGCGAAGCCCTACCCTAAACCCTAAACCCTTAAACCTCTAAACTCTAAACCCTAAACCCCTTAACCTCTGAACTCCAAACCCTAAACCCCTGAGCCCCCTAAACTTCTCAACCCCCGGAGTCTCTGCGAACCGTCATCCAGCCATGGCTTAAGCGAAGTCTTGGTAGCATGGGTCCCTGAGTTGAGGAAGTCGGTGATGCTCCCGGGCCGAGAATGGTAGTTTAGGGTTTTAGGGTTCCCTTTAAAGGGATCTATAAGGGTTCCTTTAAAAGGGATCTATACGGCTATACGGGTTCCTTGAAAAGGGGCCTATAAGGGTTCCATTAAAAGGGATCTATAAGGCTTCCTTCAAAAGGGGTCTATAAGGGTTCCTTAAAAGGGAGCTAGAGGGATGAGGGTTTAGGGTTGAGGGATTCATGGCGTAGCGGGTTGGCCGATGTAGGATTTAAGCCCAGAGGTTTTTGGGGTTGAGGGAGTTCGAGATTTGCCTTCTTAGAGGTTCATGGGACTTAGTAACTAGGGTTATAATTAAGGTAACTACACTTATATGTACTTATAATCCCGATGAGGGTACCTATAACTGTACTTACTAAGTCCCATGAACCTCCAAGTGTAGCCCCATGCCCTACACAATAGTAGCCCTGTAATACCCTGAACCCTAAACCCTAAACCTAAACTCCTAAACGGGTCACGATCTGACCCTTAAATACAGGCAGTGCCTAGGACTACAGGCATGCCGGAGTCTACTTGGAGGATCAGGGGACTTAGTAAGGGTTCTTAAAGGGCTCCTTAAAGGGATCTATAGGGTTCCTTAAAGGGATCTATGGTGTTTAGGGTTTAGGGTCTACTTGGAGGATCAGGGGACTTAGTAAGTAGGTTATAAGTAGGGTTATAATTGTGGTAACTGCATTTAGTGTACTTATAACTCTACTTTTAACCTACTTACTAAGTCCCCTGCCCCTCCAAGTATGGGTCCAAGGCCCAGAGACTCCAATATCCCTTAATTAAGGAAAAGACCTTACATTCTAGTAGGAGCCCTAATAGAGTTTAAGGAATATTCCTCGACGAAGGGATGTTGGAGTCTCTGGGTTTAGTTACCACTTTGGCTTGACGCGGTTTGGGCTGCCTTGATGGGTTCTGTGAGGGTTCATACAGGGGGTTATGTGGGGTTTAGGGCCTTGGGATCCAGGGGTTGTGGGTTTAGGGTTAACCCTAAACCCTAAACCCGAGGGTCAACTGCTTTGGAGAACCGGAGGCCCTTCAAATCGTGAATCCTGAGCCATCTTCAATTTAACGCTAGGCCACCACAGCGCAGGTGACAACTTACAACGCACAAGGGAAACGATCCATACAGCTCCGGGAAACCCGAAAAAGCACAGCAAAAAAATGGAGCTGGGGTTTTGGAGATGTATAGGTTTTGCTCATCTATCGATTGCAGTATCCTAACCTCAAACCCCCTAAACCCTAACCTCTAGGGCTGTAGTATATGAGCCTCATGCCTGAATGACTGCTGATGTTATTCCTGAGGGCTTCTATGCTTTCTCTAGCAACATGTGCCACAAAACCCTATCAAATTGCTGACAGCCCTTATGCTACACTCTCATAAGTTGGCACAAATACTAACACAGTTAGAATAGAAGTACTCGTAGCACTCCTGCTTCTACTGCCACGACGACGAGTACTTCTGTTGATGATATAAATATAAATCCTGCATTACCTTAGGGACCTTAAACTATGGCAATTATGGTACAGTCCTTATTTGGGTAACGCAGGATTCATATCATCAACCGTTCGACTACTGCCACTACTGCTACCACTGCTCCATGCTGGTGTCGTTTCCTACTTGGAGGTTCATGGGACTTAGTAAGTACGGTGATAAGTACCCTAATTGGAATATTATAAGTACATATAAGTGTAGTTACCTTAATTATAACCCTACTTACTAAGTCCCACCATCCTTCAAGTAGACCCTAAATCCTAAACCCTTAAAGGGAACCACATTATAGAACCCTATATATAGTACCGTCAAAAGAAGCCCCTTATAACCCTAGTTACTAAGTCCCCTGAACCTCTAAGCACCCCCCCCCCCAAACGACCCCCAAAACCTTTACTTCGGGACTCTGCCGTACCTGATTGTAACAACTACCCTGCTGTAATTTAATGTCGGTTTTCTGAATTGGGAGGTTTTGCAGTTTGAAAGCCCTTAAAAAGACCGATTACCTATTAACTCCTATGCGAATGCCACCACTAGAAACAACACCAGTAAACACACCTTAAACTCGAAAGCCTAAACCCCAAAACCCTACACCCTCTAAGCACCCTCATTCGTCACAAATTCCTAGAAAGTCCTAGAAGTAACCATCTATAACACCCTATAAACACTCTGAGCCCTGAAGCAAAACTTTGGAACCGCACCCATTAACAACCCTCCAAACCCTAACCCTAAACTCTCGAAGCACCCTCATCAACTAGACATCACCAGAAAACCTCAGAAACTACAGTCCATCACACCCTATCAACACCCGGAGCCCTAAACCCTTGTTGCTAAGTCCCATGAACCTGTAGGATCAACCAATAAAACCCTAAACCCTAAACCCTAAACCCTAAACCCTAAACCCTAAACCTTAAACCTTAAACCCTAAACCCTAAACCCTAAACCCTAAACCCTAAAAATAAACCCCCAAAACCTAAATGCCCAACCGCGAGGCCCCAAACCATAACCTTGTAGGCAAGGCCTAAAACCCCTCAGCACCCATAGTGCCCTTGTAGAAACCCTATACAAACCAAAATGGATCCCTTTTAGGTAGACTGTGGTTACTAAGTCCCATGATCCTTGACACCCTAAAACCCCTGTAGATCCCTTATAGAGCCCTAAACTAGGACCCAGAGTAGGCCCTTATTCCCTTTTTTAGGGTTCAGGTTCCCTTATAAGCCCCTTTAAACCAAAAAGGGCACCCTTTTTATTCCTAGGTTACTCTTAGGCCCAGGAGCCCTAAAGTGCTCTTAAAGGTCCGAGTTGCCCGATTCACCCATCTATGAGGAGCCTTATCTGGAGGGACCGTTTAGGGTTTAGGGTTTAGGGTTTGGGGTTTTGGGTTTAGGGTTTAGGGTTTTGGGTTTTGGGTCGTAGGGACACCGTAAACCCTACTTGGAGGGTCGGGGGACTTAGTAGTAGGTAATAAGTAGACTTATAAGTAGCCTAACAGGGATCCTAATTGGGGTTATGATCAGTCTATAAAACAACTACTTACTAAGTCCCATGACTGGTAGCTGCGCCGACGCGCCAGCCAGAATTACTCCGCTTTCTGAAATGTACAGTCGGGAGCGCATGGCAGCCTTAAAAAAGTCCCATGAACCTCTAAGTAGACCCTAAACCCTAAACCCTATAGATCCCTCTAAGGAACCCTATGGATCCCTTTAAGGAACCCTATAGATCCCTCTAAGTAGTCACGAAGTCCCGAACATAGGCGCCATGGCGCTAGTTGCGCCGCCCTGGCCGAGTGTTTCGATTCGGACCCGGACTTCGCCCTGGGTTGCGGTAGCCAGGGTTTCGGTTCTTAGATCCCACGGTTTAGGGTTTAGGGTTTAGGGTTTAGGGTTTAGAAGGGACTTCTATAAGGGGTCTTATATAAGGGATTTTACAAGTTGTTTCTGCAAGGGATTTCATAGAACGTCTTATAAACGTTTTCAGAAGGTGTTTATCAGTTAAGGTTTGTGTAGGCAGGTAACTTTACAAGGATTATCGCGGTTTCTATCAGGGTTTAGAGGGTTTAGGGTTTAGGGTACCAAATCCACAACCATCTCATTGGCTGCGCTTTGATAGGGCGCAGCAGGCGTTGCTTGAAGATGTTGCGATAGGAATCGCCGTAATCGTCAAGTCGTACTCTACTATCCCCTAACTAAGGAATGTACCTTACATTATGATTAGCAAAAAATCAGGATCCCTAGTCTGATTTAGGGTATATTCCTTGATTAAGGGATTTTGGAAGATCTCCCTCATCGAAGCATAATCCCTTACAGGAGTCCTTATATTCCTTCCTCCACGTGTTCTTAAGCACCAGTAAAACCCTAAACCCCAAACCCTTAACCCCTAAAGTTTCGAGGAAAGCTTGAGCTCCAAACCCGAAAGCCCTAAATCCTTTTCTTGGTTCGTTCTTGTTAAGGGGTTTTCGGGTTTAGGGTTTTAGGGTTTAGAGTTTTAGGGTTTAGGGTTTAGGGTTTAAATTAAGTTACCATAATAAGGAAACCATATCATTTACTGTAGATCCCTGTTATGGTAACTTAGATTATCCCTTAGCAAAAACCCAGTTTTTCATAGAACCCGTTGTGTAAGCCATTGAAAGCCACAACCCGGCCAGGCACGGTGATTGGATCCCTACAATAGTCACTTGTTCTTATGTAAGCCCTTGCAGCAGTCGTTGCAGAAGTCCAACGCCCTAAGCCGTAACTCCTAAACCCTTTTGTGGAACTGGCTATGCAACCCTTCATAACAGCCTAAGCCCTAACCTAAACCATAAGGTTATGAACCTTCTGGATTACTACATGGTGCCACCGCAGTGGGAGGATGAACATGCAAGGATGAACACTGTTAACCGGTACAACCACCTTGAGTTCAAGGACAAGCTCCTGACCTATTTTGTACAACTCAAGGGCATAAGAAGGTCAGGTCACAGAGGAACGTCATGTTTGAACTGGTGGGTGAACATGGTGATGTGGTTCTGCTCAGTCTCTATCAACCCGTGGGTGTTGCTGTTTGAAAGGCAGGACACTTGCAAAGGCTTAGACGGCCAGAATCTCTGGATACGACTGGCACTCGAGGGAGATGACTCCTTGGCTCGTGTCTGCAGAGCATTTGGCATAGTGTCCGAAAGCCGTCATAAACCTTAACCTTACAGGAATCCCAAACCCTGTAGTTATAGTATATTATACCACAAAGCCCTATTGAAATTATTCAGGCCCCTATATTATGTAGTACCCCTGTAACCCGTCTAGACCACTTTGAAGGCACCCTTTAAAGGCACCCTAGACCGTAAATAAGGAACGCCTTGTCTAATTATTAAGGCCACTACTGTATATGGGAGTTTCCGAAAATAGGGGACCCCAATATCGTACCTTAAAAAGTAGGATCCCTATTATATGGACCCCAACATAAGGTACTCTTAATATTCGGAAACTCCCAAACCCTAAGCCCTTATAGAACCCTTAAGGATCCCTGTACAGGTACCCTTAATTGTCGGAAACTTCCAGATAGTATATACTTAGGCCTTAAAGTACCCACTATTTAGGGTGTTTGCTGTATTAGGGTCCCATATTTTCGGAAACCCCTTTTTAGTATCCTATAGATCCCTTATAGCACCCTTATAGATCCCTTATAGTAATCCTTATAGGGCCCCCTAAATAAGGTACCCCTAATTTTCGGAAACTCCCAAACCCTAAACCCTAAACCCTTCATAGAACCCTTGCAGAACCCTTCCCTTAAAGAGCCTTTCACGGAACCCTTATAGTACCCTCATAGAGCATCCCTAATTTTCGGAAACTCCCATATCCCCTTAAGGAACCTTGGGTTCCTTTCAGGGATCCTTAAGGGTTCCTCTAAGGCCCCTATATTGAGCCCGGCCAGGCAGGGAGATGAGTCTCTGGCCCTTCCCGGGCGGCGTCGGGGACTTGGGCTCCGGGCCACAAGGTTTCTGCTGAAATCTCAGGGGTACTTAGGGGTACTTTGTTAGGGTTTTGGATGGAGTAGGATTTAGGGTTTTAGGGTTTTAGGGTTTTAGGGTTTTAGGGATAAGGATTCGTTTATGTGGGATATCACCGTCCTTGTTTTTGTTCATGTACTGTTTGGGGGGCCCTATGATCTTAAAAGGCTTTTACCAGGTGGCATCGGGTTGGATATGGTTGTATGGGTGTTTATGGGATGTAGTAGGGTTTTAGGGGTTTGGATTGCAATTCTGACTTTATCTTGTTCCGACGGATTCAATCGGGCTTTATGCGGGCTTATAGGATTCTTACAGGTCTTATACGGGATTTGCCATATTTTCGTAAGGGCTGTTATAGGTTGAACAAGCTTTTTTACATGGTTCCATCGTGAGTACGGTTCTAAGCAGGGCAGCTTTGGTAGTATCTACCTGTAGCCCCAATGAAGGCACTCATAACCGTGCTTGTAGTATAACTACCCATGAACCTTGAAGAAAGGTGGAAAGCCAAAACGTTAGATCCTTATAGAGCCCTGAAGTCCGTTTTTGGAACCCCATGAAACCCCTAAACCCTCACCCTTCAACCTTGAACCCTAATCCTTAAGACAAAGCCGAGCGCTCGAAATCGAACCCCAAATGCCTTAGGGCTCCTGTAAAGAACCTTAGGGCTCCGATAAAGGAATCCTGAAAATATCCTATGAAACAAACCTTTGCGAGGCTTCCTTTCAAGGGTTCCTTAAAGGGATCTCTGAGGGGTGTGGGGTTTAGAACCTACCTTGTCAGATTCCCTTATTGTAGTTTCCTGGTTGAGGTCCTTGGAAAGGTAATTCCTAAGACCTTAGATCATATTAGGGATCCACAATATGACTTGAAGTGTATTCCTCCATGAAGGAAAAGACCTTAAACTCCTAAATCCTAAACCATAAACCGTGGCTCTGGTTTAGGGTTAGGGTTGAGGCGTTATTTAGGGTGTATTCCTTGTCGGAGAAGGCCAGATCTTCCAAACTCCTCTAGTTAAGGCCCACACCTTCTTTATCAGATTCGGGGTCCTACAATAACTCAAAGGGGAAAAGGAGGGACCCTTAATGGGGACCCCTACCCTATAATGGGCCATCTAATGGGTAGAAAATAGCTATATTAAGGGTATATACCTAGGGGTCCTTATTAAGGGTCCCTCCTTTTACCCTTGGAATAACTTAAGTCCCAAACCCAAAGCCCTAAACGGCCTGGGATTCATCAGAAAGAAGCCATTGCGCTTCAACAAAAAACAGCCTGAAACCTTTCACCTTCAAACCCTGAGCTCGTCAGTTCAACTGGGGGTTTGGGAGCCGCTGTCTCCATCAAGGGGGCCCCCGTGAAAGGGGACCCTTAAATAGGTGGGATTCTTTGAGAGGTTCAGGTCATAAGGATCCTACTATTTAGGGTACTATACTGGGATCCCCGATTTTCGGAAACTCCCATATACTTTGTGCTCTTAGAGTATTCATATAAGAAGCTATATGGGTAGTTGTCAAAATTACGGTCCCTTTTTGGGCACTCTAAATATAAGGTGCCGTATTATAATAGGGACCCAAAGAAGGACCATAATTTTGACAACTACCCATATAAGAAGCTATATAGTCTGGGGGTTCGAAGCCACGGCTCCGAGGCGGCCGGCGCCTCAGCGCCTCCCGGGAGCCATGGGAGGAGGCGCTTTCTTGCATGGCCTTAGGGTTTACTAAAAGGATCATGGGACTTAGTAACTGGTGTTATATATAAGGTAACCGTACTTATAATTACTTATAACCCCAATTAAGGTACTTATAACCATACTTCCTAAGTCCCATGATGCCCCAAGTAGGGTTTAGGGTTTAGACTTTCGGGTTGAGGGTGTAGGGTTCAGGGTTTAGGGTTTTAGAATGCAGGTTTTAGGCTTTAGGGTTTAGAATTTAGAGGGGGGGGGTGTTCCACTTGTGTTCAAAATCCTGCTTTGAGGTTCCGCCAATGGGTTTGGGGTTTAGGGAGTTCAGCCGTTGTGTATTGTAGGCGGCCTTATTGCTTAGAACTCTATGTTAATTACAGCTTCAAGACTACAGTACCATAGTTGGGGCTATAACTAAGTACAATGAGATATATTGCTGCCGTAGTTTTAGCCCTAGTTACTAGGTTCCATGAACCTTGAAATAAGTGCGACAATGGCAGCTGCCAAGATCTCTAGCATGCTGGGTGCTGCATCTGCACTCCCTCAACCCGCGAAAACAAAAGCAACTCCTTTAACCCCACGCCGTCAGCCCTGAACCCTAAACCCTGGCGCTTGAAATCCAGCAACACCGAGTGCCCGAATCCACGAAGCACCATCGTACGACGAGTCCTGTCCTTCCACCGGGCCTCGGTGAACAGCCGTCCGTTCGCCACTCGCACAGAACACCTTCCCCTTAGGGTTTTTTTAGATGTTTTTAGTTTTTGGTTATTCTTTTCCTTAAGAAACAGCTAAAATTATAATTGTTGCTAGGGTTCTAAGTTCAGTAGAGTGTCCAGAACATCACAAAAGCTAAGCAACTCCGACATCCCTTCAAACTTCTAAAACCACAAAGGCCATGCAAACCCACCAATTTGCCGAGAACCCTCAGAACCCTATACTCGGCTTTTCATAGAATGTGCCCCTAAACCCGAAACCCTAAACCCGAAACCCTAAACCCTAAACCCTAAGCCTTAAACCCTAAGCCCTAAACCCTATACTCGGCTTTTCTCAGATGTCCATGGCTCTCTTCCGCCGGTTGGACCCGGCTGCTACCGGCCTAGTTCACCAGGATCAGGCAGGGCTGTCGGCTTTTTGTAATACTTATGTAGGGTCTCGGGTTTAGGGCGTACGGTGAAGGGTTTAGGATTTAGGATCTAGGGATTAGGGTTTAAGGCGTCAGGTGAAGGGTTTAGGATATAGGGTGTAGGGTTCAGGTGTTTGGGTGTAGGGTTTACTGTTTTTACGTTTAGGGTGCAGATTTCAGGGTTTAGGGTGCCGGGTTTTGGTTCTAGGAGTCGAAAAAATTCGAACGTCTTTCCCTTCATAGTCCTGGCCGCCACGGTTTAGGGGTTTAGGGGTTTAGGGTTTAGGGTTTAGGGTTTAGGGAGCCAAAAAACTAGTCAGTCCAACGATTGAAGTCCTTCTATTAGATGGAGGATCTAAACCCCAGGCCCTAAGCTCCATATCACTTGGAGGATCCTAGGGCTTGGTGAGCTTAGGCTTTAAGTACCTCAAGTGGTTTTTTCGTAACTCGGTTCGGGATTTTACACGCTCAACCCCTAACCAGATTTTACCCACTATTCGTTATCAGAGGCGTTAGGGGGCCAACCTAGGCAATACTGCTCCATCACGGACTCGGTATGCTGGTGACGGACCACTTGGACACGACTTTGCGGGAGGAGAAGAGGAAGTACTTGTCCAGCAATTACGACCTGGTCAAGTTCATGGTGTTACGGGTTTAGGGTTTAGGGTTTCACAACAAGAGCGAGCTGGTGCCGAAGTACTCGGCCAGGAGGACATCTTGTCGACGATCAGCAGCAGCAGGCAGACGGAGTTGACCATGATGGTGAACAAGAAGCGCGTCAACTACTATTTGCTTAACAAGCCCCCAAAAAATAAAAATAATAATCCCTATATTCCCCCCATAAGGAATATATATATATTTTTTTTATTTTTTGGGAGTTCTTAAGGAAATCGTAGTCAAGGATGTAGATGAGGGATAAGGTGACAAAGCGGTGCCCTTCAGAGCTGCTATCGGTTTTCATTGCCGTTCACTTGCAGCGGCAGCGCTTCCACGAGGCCAACCACCTCAAGCCCACGGTTATGGTTTAGGGTTTAGGGTTTAGGGTTTAGGGTTTATCAAGCCATACCGGAAATCTTCAGTTCAAAAGGGTCGCAGCTACGAGTTTCTAAGGGAAAGCGGGGCATCAGGGCACATGTCAACTTAATGGGCCGTTGTGCGAGACTTCCGATGACATCTTGTACACAGTTCTATCGGTTAAGGGTCTGGGGTTTGGGGTTTGCGGTCTATGTTCAAGGCTTTTCTTATATTGAAACCTTTTACAGCATCCAAAACCCATGCCGTTTAGTTACCATCAGTTTCCATTAAAGCCTTCGTAAAGCCCAAACCCCAAAACCTATAAAAAGAGAACCTTCGGAATCGCCAACGGAGCGTTTTTACATCTGCGAAAAAC